CTATTTACTTTCAACTAACAAGTCATTTGTGGTTTGAGTTCGTATGAATAGGTCGTATATGAATAATATAATTTATTAATCATAAAAATATGCATTCTATACATGCAGTTACTGTGATTAAATCTAGAAAATGTAAGTACATACTTGATTATGTTTATTAGTGTATTAACAAATTTTTGGTCTGTCTCTAAAAAGCTTTGGTATCTCCCAAAATATTACTTTTTGTTTTCTGTCAGCTGGTTAGAATTTAACATTAACTCTAAAGTATACCTATAAAATATATATTTAAGTTCTGGTTTATAGATACACATACAAATTTATGTTTTAACTAGCGTGTACCAGCGACTTCGTTCGCGTCGAATTAATCATTTGTAATGGTAATGATAAAGCAAAGCAAGGATTTCCATTAACATACAAACTGGATAAAATTTTCTCACATTTATGTCAGCATGAGAAAACACAATATGGCGATATTATTATATAACTTGGTAATATTTGAGGGGTAGTTTCATCTCGTTGGAATTTGACTTTCGAAAAATCCGTTTTCCAAAAATAAGCTTTTTACGTCAAGCAGTTTAAGCAGAATCGTGGTTAAGAAATTACCCAACTTTTTTGAACACCCTGTATGATTTTTTAAAAAATTTCAAAATATGTAAAAAAAACAAATAAATTATGTTTATCCAAGCGTTTTCCCGAAAGACTAACCGTTTTTTAAATAACAAATATAGTAATATTTGAAGGGCGTTTTCACCCTCTTGGAATTTGAGATTCGAGGAACCCCTCCTTATCGAACCTCTACACCCCACAGTCAATCCTTTTACCAAAAATCAGCTTTAAACGTCAAGCAGTTTAAGCAGAATCGTGATTAGGTATAAATTTATAAAAAATAAATCTTAAAATATGTAAAACAGCAAAATAAAATATACGTATCTAAGAGTTTTTCCGCAAAACTCACCGGTTTTTAAATAAAAATTATTTTAATATTTGAGGGATAGTTTCACCCCCTTAGAATTCGAGTTTCGAAAAATCCCTTCTTTTCGAACCTCTACACCCTAAAGTCAACCTGTTTTCCAAAAGTCAGTTTTTTACGTCAAGCGCTTTAAGCAGGATCCTGATTAATCAATGACCAGATTTTTCGAAACACTCTGTATACATTTTTAAAAAATCTTAAAATATGTAAAAAAACAAAATAAAATATACGTGTTTAAGCGTTTTTTCGGACACTTGACCGTTTTTTAAATAAAAAATATTGTAATATTTGAGGGGTGGTTTCACCCTCTTGGAACTGGAATTTCGAAAAATCCCTTCTTATCGAACCTCTACACCCTAGAATCAACCTGTATGCCAAAATTGAGCTTCTTACGTTGAGTGGTTTGAGCAGGATCGTGATTAATAACTTAAGGATTTTATATATTAGAATAGATTTATTTTTGTTCCCTAAAATATTTTGATTAAAAGCAAAGAATATTTTAATAATTAAATTATAATATTCTTTGTTAAAAGAAAAAATACTCGAAAAAATATAGAAGTGGGCAATGCTTTGCCGGTCAAGCTTAATCAAGTGACTAAAAGTTTATTTGGTATGAACTATAGAAGGCTATTAGCGTCGTATATGATAATAATTGCGGGACTGCTTACCATAACCTACAATACCGTAATATAAAATAAAAAATAATATATAAATGACAAAATAAAACACTAACTCACCACAACATTTTACTTTAAAAAAAAATACACAACATTTTACTTTTAATCACTAGACGCCAGCGGCGTAGCTAGAAATAGTGGCGCCGGGGGGCAAAACTATCGGCTGGCGCCTAAAATACACCCATATTGACATATTTTTCTGGTATCTAAACTAATAGAAAAATATAACAAAATACTTACTTATACGAATACTTAACGTACACTTTTATTTTTTTTATAGCAAAATAAAATATATAACGGGTGTAACTGGGTAACAAAATTAAATTTAATGCTATAAACGTAAACTGAAATTCTATAAAATCCATAAAACATTAGAAATTTTTTCTCCTATTTTTAATGAAAGCAAACTGATCGATTATATGGTCAAAATTATTTTTTTGGGAAAATTCGTTTTCTATACTTAATATTGCTAGACTATTTAACCTTGTCTGACTCATGGTTAAATAGTTTTTTATAAGCTTGAGCTTTGACAATGTCTTCTCAGCAGATGCTGATGTCACAGGAAGTGTTAAAAATAATAAGAGAACAGTGCACACATCGGGAAAATTTGATACAGTGGTTTGATGTTTACAAAAGAAATAAATCAATCACTTCTGTAATAGTACTTATGTTCTTTAAAATCGCTCTAAATGCAGAGCGGAAATTTAGTATTTCCCCTGCAAATTTTGCTGTTAAATCGTCAGCGTATTTTTCTTGCAGTATCTTAGCTTGCTTGTGAAGTTCACAGTCACTTAGGGATACTAAATGGGAAGGTTAAAAAAAATTAGACACGATATTTTGAAAATTTAGCAGTCTATTTTTTAATTGGAAAGAGGCTAAGAGGTTAAAGAGACTAAAATACTGTTAAACGTAATTTTTTTTTAATTTTTCTTCTCCTGATAATTTTGTTATTTCATCGAAATATTTTTTTTGTAACTTTAATTCTTTTTTCTACGAAAGTTGTTTCGACTCCCCAAGTTTTTGACAGCTCTAAAGCCTCTGATTTAATTTCATCATAACTGTTACGAAGCTCGCAAAACTGTAGATAAGCATGACTAAATAAAGTAGATGCCTCGGCAATATTCGTTATTTTGCTTTGAAGTACTTTAGATATATGGTTTAAGCAATTAAGTATCTTGGAAAATAAAACTAATAAAATTAAAAATTTAAAGTTATCCAATTTTTCTTCGGTCCAGTTTGCAAAAAATATCTACTTTGATTTAAAATACATGCACCGCTGGCGCAGGGGTATAATTTATTTATTCAAGATAAACTATATAGTAGGGTAATCATTTTAATACAAAGGTTTTTTAGTAATTCTTGATTATCTAAGGATTGTATTATCTGAGGATTGTACAAACCAAACTTATTTTTTTTAAAGTTAATTAGCAAAAGCATAATGTCGAAGAAAAGAAACAGAAACAAAACGGCGCCTATTCTTCTTTGGCGCCGTGGGGCCTTGCCCCCCCCCCCGGGCCCACCCGGTAGCTACGCCACTGCTAGACGCGCGTTTCGTTAACACATCATCAGCAAATGATTAAAACTAAATATATATAAATGCTTAAATTAGAACGTGTTTCTGTGCTAAAATCATTTCGTTTTCATTCTTAAATAGGCTATTATTTTTATTAAAGTCATATTTTTTGCTGTTTTTAAAGTATCACCCTTTCCATAACATTGAACTTAAATTTTGTTACGCTTCTGTATACTATTACAGTGTGAAATGTTGTGCTTCTTTAACATTTTAATACTGCAAAAAATATGACGTTAAAATCAAAATTTTTAAGAATAGCCTATCAAATAATTTAAAAGGAAATTATATTTATACCGGTTGCGTCTCAAAAGTGGCTCATCCCCTATAATTTTTTTATTTCTTCAGATAAAAAAAAACAGATTTGGTATATTATAAATTGGGATTGATTGATGTATTCAATTGTTTTTGGTCACTTCCTGTTTCACCGGAAATGACCAGAACTTTTGATTTTTAAATGGTACCCTCGGTATATTTTTATCTTGTAATGATATATGATGTAATGATGTACTTAAACAGCCGCTAAACGGTAGCCTACTAAAATGCTGTTAATAGATATTGTGACGTCGTTCGTGAGGGGGGAAGGTAATGCCTGGCTATAAGAATTTTGGAAGAGCACCTGTGGCTCCGTGGCTGAGGCTATCGCTTCGTGAGCGAATGGTCCGTGGTTCAAATCTCAAGCCGACCGAGACTTTTTTATATATTTTTTTTGCTTATAGCGTGACCTAATTGCATTGGTTTCACTCTTTTTGTTTGGATTGGTTTAGTTATTTGGCGGGTTGGTTAGCGTGGTTATTTGGAGGGTGTTAATTCATTGGTTAGTTGGTTATTTGGTGGGGTTGGTTGGTTTTTACTAATTTATATTTGTTTTTTATATTTTTTTATCAGTGTCGAGGATAGTTGCCTTGGTTAAGTTGGTTATTTGGTGGGGTTGATAGCGTTGGTTAGTCCTTATAAAATTCCTATATTTCATAAAGCTGTCAAGTGCGTCACATCAACGACGTCATACCTATTAACGGCATTTTAGTAAGCTACCGTTTAACGGCAGTTTAAGTACAGCCTATTTTTATTTTATTCGATAGAAAATTATACTCTGAATAGAATGACATATCATAGGCCAACTTTTGACATTTTCGCATATGGTTTATTTGAAATTGTAACATGCGGTTCATAACGATAATTTTATTTGAAATGCCAAATGTGTGGTACTTATACCAAATTATGAGTAAAAAAATGCTTTTTCCAAATATGCTAATGGGTCACCCTTGTTCCATTTGAAAAAATTGAGATATGATTAAAAATACGATTTGGGCATCTTTTAACCGGCTATGACAAGACACGAACAAGAATAGACCATCAAATCTATTTTTCCAAGGCTCCTTCATATTTTTTTATTTTTCTCAAAAACGATATAGCAATTTGGTAAGGTATAAACGAGATTAAACATTTTTTAGAGCAAGCAAAATTTTTTATAAGGAATGCATTTTCTGAAGATTCTAATAATAAAATAGGTTTTTACTGTATAACATTAATTATTAAAACTTAATATAAAAAATAGATACTGAAATAATAACTACTTTTTATAAAAGTGTCCGTCACTTTCATACGCGGCCTTTGTCGACAGACAAAGAGTTCGCGTACGAACGATTCCATCTGTTGATCATATCGAAATCCCTACCGTTTCCAAATTTTCCCACCAACCGGCAGCACCGCGTCCCGCCGGCATCCCGACGTCGACCGCGCGTCCCGACGGCCGCCTCGCGTCAGTTCTCGCTCGCCATGACGGACGACAGGCCGCAGCGCGTGCCGCGATCCAAGGGCCGGTCGGCGTCGATTTGCGCCACCGGCGGCAGCTCCAGCATGGAGGCGCTTCCGCCAACCGAGGCCGCGAACGGAAACGGCGGTACCCCGACGGCGCAGAGAAGGCGCAGGCCCGCCGCGCGGTCGCAGAGCGCCCGGATGACCAATAGGAGGAGCGTGCGGTACAGGGGGACCCAACAACAAGGTAAATTTGAGTGGAATTTTTGAAAAAGTAAAGTAAAAAAATGGAAGTTTTGAGGAATCTCAATTTTATTGAGAAGTTTTGAATAAGTAGCCTGTGAACTAGCCGGTATATTAGTAGAATTATTAAAATACTTTTGTTACTTTCTGTGTTGCTTAATTACCTAGATTATATCAAATATTAAAGATATAATGACAAAGAAAAACTGAAAATATTTAGGAAAATCTTTGTTTGATTTATAGGCAACTTTAATAGAATTTTGAAGAGAGATGAATTCTGCATTGACTAGTGCAATAATAAGTTTATTATTCCAATAAGGTGTTCTATTTAAAATAAAAGTGTAACTTGCTTTTGAAAGTGACCAATGTTCAATATTAATTTTGTTCCACCGTGTATAACTTTTAGGGCCAAGTTTTAATTTGTTTGAAAGTACAATGGTTATTTTAACGACATATTAAAATATACTTGATAAATTTCAATTTAGATAGCTTTTATGGCTTTTATTTAAAAGGTATTCTTCATTTTTAGAAAATATTAAATATGTCAAAAATCTTACATTTTAGTCATATGCTTTTGAACGACCTTTATTTTTTTTCATAGAATCCGAAAATCAATTAATATAGAGGGTAGGTATTCCATTACAAAAAACCCAACTTTAATGTGTAACTTTTTTTGGGGATCTATTTCATTTTTTATTTTTTTTTACTATATCATATAACTATAAACCTCTATATATTAAAAAAATGTTTTTTTTTAATATATAGAGGTTTATACCGGAGGAATTTTTACCGGAAATGAATACAACTTTTGATTTTTAAATATCACCCCAGATATGTTTTCTAATTTTAAATTGCAACATACGGTTCATAACGACAATTTGACTCGAAATACCAAGTGTGTGGTACCAACTTATTCGTAAAAAAATGCTTTTTCGAAATATGCTAATGAGCCACCCTTGTTTCATTTGAAAAATTGAGATATGATTAAAAATACCATTTGGGCATATTTTAACCGGCGAACAAGACACGAAAAACATTAGGCGATCAAATCTATTTTTCCAAGGCTCCTTATATAAAAAATAGTGTTTTTAACAGAGCTATGCCCATAGATAAAAGAAAATAACCTACTATTAAGATAGATATGAAACTTAATAGTAAAATTTTGGGTTAAAGCGCCCCTCGGTGTTTTTAGTAGAGACTACGTTTTACCCAGCGCCTTCGCATTTTCTGCTGTAAATGTTTTTTTATGTTTATATTTGAATTCAAAGGATTTATTTTTAAAGTTACACTGATATATTAGTATATCAGGGTAACTTTAATAAAACATAAGAATATATATATTTTACAGTTTATTTTTTTTTATTTATTTTACAGAGTTTCATGTAAATGATCGTAAGTCGACTGGCTGTCTAATGAATAGACCGAGATTTATAGATTTTAAAGCGAACGAAAAAAAAATCAAACAACGAATACATACCATATATTTTTCTTTTATCTAAGATACATACCTTATCGTCTTTTGGAAACACGGGCTTTTTTGCAGTTTCGTTAGTTTCTTTGCAAGATGCAATACAACAAGAAAACACCATTTTTACAGTTAATAAATAATAAAACTATTTCTGACTATGATATTTAAAATTTAGATAGATAGAAAATTAAATAACAAACCGGTATTTGCAGACGCAGGCCCAAATTCAATAAAAATCAAATTTTTTCCTGCCCAAATCGGGCGTATTTCATTGAAAAGGTATTTTTTGATTTATCAGCAATCATTGTCAAGTTGACAATATACAGGGTATTTTCTTATTAGTCTAAAAAAATTGTGGTGTGATTCCTCATGTGTTCCTCAACAATTTTTATATAAAACTATTGGGTCTACCAGTACTTCCTTTCTGATCTACAGGGTGTTAAAATTTAAAAAAAATCGTTTTTTTTTGTTTAACATAAATGGTACACCACTGCTTTTTTAAAGAAAATATTTTTTTTTGACTGGCCACCCTTTTTCAACAAGATTGATCTTTTGAGTTTTTCTTGTTCATCAAACGGTTGTCGAGAAAAAAATAAATATACGTACTAAGAGCCCGCCTTAATCCGTTTTCTAACGATTTTTTATTTTTTAGATTAATTAGGAAACACCCTGTATATGCATATCACAGGCAACCAAATAAACTAGTATCGAGAAAAAAATAAATATACTTAATAAGAGCCCGCCTTAATCCGTTTTCTAACGATTTTTTATTTTTTAGATTAATTAGGAAACACCCTGTATATGCATATCACAGGCAACCAAATAAACTAGTAACCTCTAAAAATTATTTTCCTACCACTAGCGACATACCGTGTTTTTATTGTATACTAAATGATTTTATCAAAATTTCACCATATAAGTTTTCAGGCAATGGCTATGCCACTCTAGATTGAAATTTTAAATACAATTTTGTTTAAAGCAAAAAAGTCAAAAGTAGACATATGACATGTCATTCTATTCATAGTGTCATTTTCTATCGATTAAAGTAGAAATATACTGAGGGTGTCAAAAAATCAAAATCTGTAGTTATTTCCGTTGAAAGAGAAAGTGACCAAAAACGTCAGTCAATCCTAATTTATGTTATATATTAACATACCAAATCTCGTTTTTTTATCTGAAATAATAAAAAACTTATGGGGGGTGAGCCACTTTCGAGACGCACCCCGTATAAACTACCGTACTCCTTGGAACCTAAATTAATCTAGATATAGTCACAATATTTCATTTAAATTCAAACTGTCGTTCTCCTTTGAGCCTCCGCGCCATATGAGAGGCACCATCCTGTATTTTTTTACACGCTTTTATTGCAATTTTAACAGTGATACTATAAGAGTGATATACAGGAGTCCCTCATTTTAAGCGATGGTTACGTTTCTTGAAAACACCCTCACAAATCGAAACCACGTATATGTTGAAACAAACTTTTCATTACATAAAATATTCAGGGGGCATGCGGTATAGGGTGGCTCAACAAACAAGGTAAATTTCGGAAGTGAACTTTTTGAGGAATATCAGTTTTATTCGTTAGGTTTTGAATATTTAGGATAGGAGCTAGACCATATTTGAGTGGGATTATTAAAATACTTTGTGTGTTGTAGTAATGCGTATGTACATGGAGTGGTCAACAAGTTTCCTAGTATGTATGTGGTCAATTGATTCAATTCAACTGATGCAGTTCTGTAACTTATTAGTTTACATTGTTTATCCTAATTATTATATTGATATTCCAATAAGTCGATCGTAAATCTGAAAAGACAAAAATTACTATAAATTATTATTACTATAAATTATTATCACATTTCACATTGTACAGTGTGTCCCATTTTGGTTGAAATCATAGGGTATCTCCGTTATTAGTGAAGATAGAAGGGTACGGTTTGCACAAACCTGTCCAACTTTTTCGTCAAACGGAAGATGCTGCAAACAAAATTTTCATAGCCCTCTTCATTTCTGAGCTACAGGGTCTTTTCGAAAATTTTGCAATTTGGGACACCCCCTGTATCTCTGTTATTGTTAAAGGTATCGAGAAGGCGAAAACTGCTTATTGTAGAACTTTTTACGTAGAATACAGTGGCGTAGTCTGTTTTTCTACCAAAAAAATATTTTTGAAAATATGAACAAAAGTTATGATTTTTCAAATGGAACACCCTGTATATTTATAAATCATATGATCTGTCTTGCTATGAGCTTCTCAAAAATATATATCACTCTATATTTATTTTCACTATTTACTGCAATATTGAAAATATATCATTTTCTGATTAGTAGGCCGTGATAAATAACAAAAAATCAAAATGGCATTTACTAAAATAGTCATACACATATTAAAATTTATTTGGCATTGATATATTTTACTTTTGAAATAACTGTTACCACTGAAACTGTGAATATATTTTTCTTTTTTTTATAACGGGATGGGTTTGCAAATATCTAAATCTTGAATTATTAAAGCATTTTTCAGGTGTTCGACATTGTTGTAGTGCCTACGATATATTTCGTATTTCAAAAATTCCCAAAATCAGAAATCGAGAACGGCGAAATCCGGGAATCAAGAAGGCTATCAATATGCGTTCATTGATTCCAATTCATTGATTTGAAAAATAATAATTTAACAGTATTCTAATATTTCCATAGTTATGAGGGGGAATGTTCCCCATCTTGCTGAAAGTATATTTCACTTATAATATCACAAGAGCTTAAATTATTTTCGGAAATTTTTTTGAGGGCACGAATATTTTGAAAATTATATGATATATAGAGTCGAAGACGAGGGATAATTTTCCTAAAATATTCGTGCCCGAAAGAAAATTTCCAGGAATAATTTAAGCTTGCGTGGTATTCGGTAAGAAAATTTCACACCTAAATTTGAAAAAAAAATATTAATCCAACATGACATTTTAAAATAATTTCAATTTGTTAAGTTGGCCAAGGTATTGATGTTTTTGACATATTATGTGTTTTGTCATTTTTGTTTGCGATTCTGTCATTAAGCTATTACTAGTTTTAAAACGTCTGTACGTAGAGTAAGAAGTGTATAGCGAAATGTCGCGATTTGGAAAAAGTAAACCAACAAGTCATTAAAGAAGAAATTGAAAATATAAAACCAGATAACACCCGAAAAATACCAGCTTTAGTTAAATAAAGGCGGCAGAACTATATTTTTTAGAACATGGCAATTTCTGAAGAAATTCATATGTAGGTATATCTAACATATTTCCTTAAATAAAAAATATTACCAACCTTAGTTACATCAAATGCTAAAACTCAAATGGGTAATATTTCAATATATAGACATTGTAGTTCATTCACATTATGATTGTAGATCTTATGTTTACCTTTTCAACTGTCAAAAAATTTCCACTAAAGTTTCGTGGCGCATCGAAAAAATTTCCGGAAATTTTTTCAGTTGCCATGGTAACTAGTCAACATTAAAGCATGTTATTGGTTGAAAAGTAGAGGTGTGAAATTTTCACGTA